GGTTATGCCTTTTTGTGTTCTCCCTGGCCTTTTCAGAACTTTGTTATGTTCATCCCTTTGACACTTTGGTGAACTTAGCTTCAGTATTTATGGATTACTTTTGAGTGCCATGTTTTGGGTTGTATATTTTCATGTCGGCTTTGTATCATTGCATTTGTTTAGATTCATTGTCAGGTTTTATTTCTGTGCATTACTGCTCTGTCTGAAATGGTTGTATGATGCCTTAGGTATCTAATACATGTCTAATAAAGTGTATATATGCATCCAATAAATACAAATATTAACATTAAATGACAAATCTCCCTATCTGGAAGTAGACTTTTACTACAGATCCCTATAAGCACCTTAATTGCTTCTTTGCAAATCAATAAATCCAGTGTAAATATTTTAGCAGGATAAAAATAATACAAAAGTTGCAGAAAAACAGCATTGTGTTTTTAGTGGGAGGGAATCCTTTTCTATTACATTTTTAAAGAAGAAAATATATAAAGTTTGGACATGCAGGCATCATAAGAATGCAAGCCTTTATGGCAAAGAGAAACTTTGAACAACAAATAGAACAGCCTCAGGAGGGAAAAGCCTGTTTGAATGCTCAGTGAAATTACAAACATCCTCCTGTTTGAAAGAAAGAATGATGTAATCATAGCACATGGGTTTTTAAGGTCTCCTTGGTGCTTCTAGGCAACAGCCAAGTGATTTTTTAAAACATGTGCTATGTTGGCACTTCCCCTGCTCGATGCTAATTGCATGTTATCTGCCTTCTGCATAAAGGACTCCGCTTCACCTCTTTGCTCCTTTCTCCTGCCACTGCCCCTCCACTCCAAGCAGGAACAGTTTAAAAAATGAAAAGGGCATCTGTGTACACCAGTGCTTGGATTAGGAGGGCATGCGTGCATGCGTTGTGCACATGTGCCCTTTAAACAAATAAATCCAGCAGCAAAGCCTCCTTCACTGGGATTTGGGAGGCTTTCCTGAGCTCTACGGCTTCATTCAGCAATGCCTGGGGGGCTCTTTAGCCCCCACAGCGGCTGGCTTTTCACCAAGCTGCTTTGCCTGGCTCTTCATTAGCCCTGTTGAAGCCCAGCTTATTTGTAACATCCTTAACATCCTGACACCCTTTTTTGAGCCAGGCCTGACAACAGCTGCTTGTTTTCAGATGCTAGTTTGTTAACTGCAGCACATCAAGTGCAGGAGAATATACCAGTCCGGGAGGATGCGTACATTTTGATGACACTGGGCTGTGATTAAACATGGGGGGGGGGGCGTATATCAAGTGGTTTGTAATTTGTTGTGAATATCGTATCTGATGGCATGTGGCGCCAGAATGCAGAGAGAATGAAAACAAAGGTGGATGAGTAGGCAGATCATGAAGAGAGGCATAATCATGCATTGTCACCCGCAATATCCCAAACCACACCTCCAAACCTGGTGAGACAATAGTACTCTTCCAGTTGTCTCCTGAGAGCTTGCACTGCTACATTGCTACACAATTGAAACTCTTAGTGTTGCTAGAATCCAGCACCCTGAAGCATGCAATTGCAATAGGGAAAGCTACAGGAACGCAATGATTTGGGCCAAACGTCATCTGGGCTCTTGATGTTTCTCATACAGGAAAAAGGGTAGGGTGGAATAGGGAAACCAGCCAATTCCCTTACAGGGCAGGAGGGGATTGGCTTTCTGATTTTACCCCTCCCACACCCTCAGTACTTGTGATGATCTTAGTGTGGGTGCAGTCCAATATAGGCAAAAGGGGGCACAGGAACTCCAAGCAAGGAGGCAATGGTGACAACTACTGTTCACTTAATGGCTCCCAGCAGAAGGATGCTTCTGAGCCCTCTAGTCCTGTTTTACCATGCAAGGCTCCAGGTAATTAGCTGCAAATGGTTCAGCTGTTTCCATGAAGTTTTCAAGAAAGAACCCACCCAAAGTGGTGGGATTTCTCTGTAAGGTAAACTAGGGGTCCCTATAAAGCCCTGACCCCTACAGGTCCCTGAGTACAGAACTCTTCAGAACACCAGCTGCCACCACCCATCATGGCAGAACCTCCTCTTCAGATCCTGAAACAACTGAAAATGCTAATGATGGTTGTAAAACCCTGACACTTGTTTCTGCTTTCTTCCTTTCCTCATTCACAGCCTTCTGATGCCAATGAACAACCTGTCTCACTGACCAACTTCAGGCACAATCCTATGTGCTGTTTAGGCATGCTGGGAGTTTTTTCCTGTCTAAACACACATTGCCGTCTTTACTAAATTGGCTCCTAATTCCTCTCAGTGTCACTTCATCCTAACTCCTATTTCTTTTTCCATGGGTTCTCCTTAATCGTCCTAGCCATCTTTCTAACTTACTTCTTTCAACTCCCACTAGCTCCATCCAACATTCCATTCTGGTGCCAGCTGTCCATCATTCTGTCCAGTTACCTGTCCGCTGCAACCTCCGAGAAGTGCTTCTTAGGTCCACGAGAAAATACAGCATGAGGTCTACTGCTGTAAGAATCATCTTACAATGGAAGGAAAACTCTGCGAAAGCACTTAGGGGGTCACTGATGGTCTAGTGCCAAGGCAGACTGGTGTACTTGTGCCACCAGCAGAGAAGAAGGTAGACCTAGGCAGGTACAACTGGGATAGCCACCCAGTCCTAATTTCAACAGTGAGAGTTGTTCTAGAGCAGCTGTGCTGCAGCAGTTTTTACAAAAATACCTGCATGAGTTTAGCCTGGTCTCTTGGGAAACACATATTTGTATTACCTGTGGACAAAGTTTCAGACACTTCCATCCTTGTTTAAAGAAACAGAAGGCTTTTCTACACGAGGCTGTTAATTCACTGTTTCTAGTTTTGCTTTTGCTGCAGAAATGAGATCTAAGCACTACACAAGAACCAACTCCTTTCCTGCTTTTCTGCTTACATACCTCTAGATAGCACTATGGTATAGCAGAATAGTGCTAATATGCAAGAAAAAGGCAGTTCCTTCAGTTTTTCAATTAAATACCACATTTTCATTGCTCTTAAAAAAAAAAAAAGGAAAGGAAAGGAAAGGAAAGGAAAGGAAAGGAAAGGAAAGGAAAGGAAAGGAAAGGAAAATGCTCTGTAGCCAGAGAAGTCAAACTGAACAGGTCACAGCATCATCTAACAAGCCAGTGTACACCAGTGCGAAGGGAAAGATGAGTGCACAAAGAAAAGCCCAAGTTTACCTCCATAAGATTAATGTCTGCTACCCAGAGGACTTTCTCAGTGTTTGCCCCTAAATTGTGGAATGGTCTCTTGAGAGAGATGCATCTGATATCCCCGATTGCTACCTTCAAGAGGGAGTTAAAGATGTATCTCTTCCAACAGGCCTTCTCAGCTTAGTTCGCAGATAAGTTTTATTTAGCATGCTTGTTTTTAGTTGAAATTTTAACAACTGATGGTTTTAATCGCTTATAAACCTCTCAGAGCCTATGGGAATGGATGTTCCACGAAAATCAAAACAAAACAAACAAAAAGAATGCCTCTCACAGAGACCACCAACAGCAACAAGGATTTTCCTACTCCCCAGAATACCAGTGGAATAATGCTTTAGACTTCTTCCAGGGTATTTGGGGGGAGGGGGCAAAGGAGAATGGTGCTTCTCAGTGGCAATGGCTACCATTTCTTCCCCAGAATTCCTTTCAGAATGACACACAGTAATGACACAGTATAATTCCAGAAGGGGAACATGTCAGAAAGGAGAGGGATGGTGCCCAACTCTTGGCAGCTTCCATGTTTAGCATCTGCCACGCTATTACTACTATAGCAACAGGAAAAATACTAGTTATTAAACCTTTTTAAAAAGGAGAAAAACTGCCACTTATTGGCAATAGTAGGTACCTCCACATAACCTTCCAGAAAAACCTCTCGCACACACACAAACCTGCCTTTGTTTCAGGATTAAAAATTATCTTTGAGATTTCAAATAAAAAAGTTCAAAACCTTTAACTTTGTGCTAGCTCAAGTGTTTTGTTTTGTTTTGTTTTTTTTAGTATGCTTGCAGGAAAGCATCCATTAGCTCACCATGGATTAATTTACCTTTGGAGTGTGTCCTTACCACAATTAATATGCAAGCTCTGGCCAGAGTTGCTGCACCTTGTTGTGTTGTCTAGACCCAGCCAATGGAGGTTATTTGATGGTTAAATACCCCTTGCACAGTGCATGGCTTGTTTTAGGGTTGTCTGGATTTTGATGACCCAAGAAGCCATTGCTTGCATAGTCATGATGGCAGCCTAAATAAGCCCTCAGAGTCAGGTCTAGCTAAACACTGCAATGCTGTGTGTCTCAAGTCATTTCCCAGCTGGTTCCACAAGAGAATATTAAGGATATTGTAAGGGAAAAAGTTATGCATAAAATATTCTCAGGTCTCCAGCACAGCTCTTGGACACAGCATTCATAGATTCCAACTGCAGAATAGAGAACAGATGTCAGGAATGAAAAGGCAGGCATTGGTGTGGCCATTCCATCAATATCCTGCTACTGCAGGATTGATTTCCTACAGCATTTATACATGCATCTTTTCCACTGCTTGTTTTAAGCATCCATAGCATCTATACTGTCTGTTTCCCCCACACATCACTTGCACGACTATATTGCTCCTTCGTTTGCCTTGTAGGAAATACTGGAGGGAGAATTTTTACAGCATCATAAAATCCAGGGTCAGTGAACTGTGAGTCCAACTGGAAGTGCACTGTACGTTACCATTCCAGGCTATCAGGAGAAAGTTTAAACCCGCAGCTGCATCTATGTGTGATCATACTTGTGTGCATGTATGCATTTGTGTGCATACATATACTCAGAGCAAATTTACTCTTAGTGAGTACTTCCTAGTGAAAGATTTTTACCATCCTCCTATACATGTATTGAAGATTACTACCAACTGTATCTCATCTTCAGAGCCAATGAACAACCCTTCCAAAATATGTTTAATGCTACAATGGAATGGTAGCTGTAGCATGAAAGGGCAAGGGGGGTGTCACTAAGGGAGTACAGTACCTGTCGGCCGTCTTTCTGATTGCATGCCTCCATTGTGATCTGCGAGCCGGTGGAGAAAGAGGTGATTGAGAGACACTTGTCCTGCTGCCGGATTAAAGGGTCACTGAATAGCCATTCCTTTGGGGTTGAGGTGAACAAGGAAAGAACAGTGTGAGAAACAGAAAGCTTCTTTCAGCTGTTAGTGCTACATCTATATTGTTCTTGTTTTAATAAAAGAACTGCCTCAAACATTTTTGCCACCAATATTTCTACAAAAGGTTACCTTTGGACATACATGTTCCTGTGATCACATGGAGAAAGCACTGCACAACCTAGCAAAACAGGTACATTTCTTCAACTTTCTGAAACTGCAACAACACTTTTTGGTATTGTTGTGATGGGAACCATCATTGCAAGGGGGAATTGGAAGGCTTTGTTCACAATAGAGATGGGTGAAACTGTTGAACTTGCTTTTACTTAGGTTTACATTTCTCCATGTTTAGGTTGTTCTGTTTAATTTCAACAGAAGACTGTAATTTTTTTGCTCACATAAAATGTTGCATGGGTTTTTGTGTGCACTTTAGATATGTGTTTATATATTCTTTTTTTGCAGAAATACACATTTTAATGTGGTTTCCCAATGAATAAAGACATATTGAACTGTGTATATTTTTAAAAGAATATGCATTCCAAATGCAAGATTCTTTTTGCATGACTGAGAGAATGAGAAATGACTGCAAGAGTGTTTAAGGAAAATGCCTGAGGAAGTGGATGTGTTTATTCATACATTCAGGGTCTGTATTTATAGACCACGTTACATTAAATAAATACCCAAGCAGTGAGCAACAATAACAATATCAAAAACGATTAAAGTATGTAAAATATGTAAAATACAGCAATTATACCAATAAAACCACGGGTGGGCTTTCAATCAGGGAAAACTGATTTAAATAAAAATGTCTTTAGCAGATAACAAAAACAGAATCATGTTGGCACATACCAAGCATCAGATGGCAAGGAATTCCAGAGAAAATGCTAAGATGCCAAAGGCTCTGCTCCAAATGATCTCTAATGCGAATTGAAGCCCAGGAACAATTCATCTGATGACCTCAGTGGCTGGGCAAGCTGACCACGAAGGCCTTGTTCCCAAGCTGGGCGGACTTTCATATACCACCAGCAAAACCAAGCCAGGCCCAGCTGCTGACACGAATTGTGTGATTTGGAACTAGGCTTTAAAACCCTGGCTTGCTATTTCATGATAAGAGCTCTGTAAATATGTGGCTTGAGCCTGGTTCCCAGGTGCTTGCTACCTGCCTGCCAGCCTGCCCTTCAGCTTTCAAGCTTCTCCAGTGCTCCGGCGAGATCAGTACTGGGAGCACCACCTTAACTACAGGGTCATGTATAGAGTGACGTAGACTCAGAAAGGAAAGTTAAAAAAATAAAATAAGCACCTGAGAAAAATGATTGCCCAAGGGTCAGGTTTAATTAAACAAGAGACTTTATGGAAGGAAAACAAAAAACTTTCACTGTGGTTTTATGCATCTGGCATCACTCATTCTGGATACTTATCTATATGCATAAATTGTTTGCACTGAATTTATCAAAACTGCAAATTCCTGGCAGGTAAATGTTGCACCTGTGTGGGATAAGCATCTTTTAAATACGTTGATGGCCATGTAGACCACCTTAATGGAACAGTGGTTTTCACCTGGCCAATGGCCCATATAAATTAGGCCCCAGAGATTATATTTAGTAATGGGATCTTCTATTGTAGGTTTTGTGCTAAAAAAATAAGTACAAAACCTAAAGGAGGAGGACTAAAACCTCAGTAAGAACAAAGTAAGAAAGCAAGACACACACACACCCCTCCTGCAGTGAAAAAACATGTCCACAAAAGAACAGAAGTTGAAACCTGACAGAATTTGGGAAATACCAGCTGCAAGAACCTAATCCTCTCACAGAATTTTGAAATTGAAAATTTGATTTTTGAGGGAGTTTTCAAAGCATGCTAGTTGGCTTCTTCTCTTATTAGATTTAGAATAGGTGAGCATTTCATTTGGCTATTTTTTTTTTTTTTTTTTTGCTATGCTTTGCTTAGAACATACCTAAATCTGTACATTCCATAAATGGGATGCAAAGATTTTGAGATTTAAAGAAACTGAATGTAAGACGAAAAGAAACAGATTCATCCATCTAACATCTCTTAAACATCTGGCTCTGAACCCAAGGCTATTCGGCCCTGCTGCTCTGCTGGGACTGCCACCTCTTTTGTTCTGAAAGACTTCAGATCCTTAACAGCTGAATGGCAACTAGGTACAGCAAGGTGTCCCTGTGCTAGAAAAAGCCATACCTGATGAATTTGGCCAGTGCAGGTGGGGAAGAAGATTGTGTTTGAGAAAAAGGAAGCAACATTTCACATTTCTTCATTTAAGAGATGGAAAGAATTTGAGATTTTAAAAATCTGAATGCAGAAGCAAGTAAAGCATTCCTTCATCCCTGCACTAGACAATGTGTGGGGTCCAGAATCTGACTCTCACAGATGGAAGGACTCCTATTATTATTATTATTATTATTATTATTATTATTATTAACATTTCTATGCCGCCCCTTGCCGAAGCCTCAGGGCGGCTTACAACACAATAAAATACATTGAAATACAATAGAACATAATAAATTACCATAAAATACAAAAATACAAAAAATACACTGAGTTTCAAACATAATAATATAAAATTAAAAAAAGCAGTATAAAATAAGTAAATAAATAATATAGGAGGAGAAAAGAGAAGGAAGAAGACGTTGCCCTGGCCAGATCATATATTTTAACAATTAAAATGATGTTTAAATAAAAAGGTCTTTACCTGGCGCCGAAAAACCAGTAACGACGGTGCCAGGCGGACCTCTTTGGGGAGTGAATTCCATAGGTTGGGTGGCACCGCAGAGAAAGCCCTCCTCCGAGTACTTACTCTCCTAATTTCTTTCATGGAGGGTTCCCGGAGAAGGGACTCTCCTGCAGATCTCAAAGGGTGGTCGGGCATATACGGACGTAAGCGCTCCTTCAGGTAGCCAGGACCCAAGCCATTTAGGGCTTTATAGGTCATAATCAACACCTTGAATTGGGCCCGGGCTTCAATGGGAAGCCAGTGAAGCTGACGGAGGACTGGAGTCATGTGAGCATAACGCCGCATCCCCGTCAGCAACCTGGCAGCTCTGTTTTGCACCAATTGAAGTGTTCGGACCGTCTTCAGGGGAAGCCCCACGTAAAGCGTGTTACAGAAGTCTAGGCGGGAAGTCACCAGCGCATGTGTCACCGTCGCCAGGCAGTCGTACTCCAGGTAGGGGCGCAGCTGATTAATCAGCCGAAGCTGAAGGAAGGCGCTCCTCGCCACCGCTGTCACCTGAGCTTCCAAAGAAAGCTCCGGGTCAAGGAGTACTCCTAAGCTGCGGACCTTGTCCCTAAGAGGGAGTGTTGCACCATTCAGGACCAGGTCAAATCCACCCTCTCCGAAGCCCGATCCGCCAACCAACAGGACCTCCATCTTGTCTGGATTGAGTTTCAGTTTATTGGCCCTCATCCATTCCATTACCTCCGCCAAGCACCGGTTCAGCACAGCCACTGCCTCACCTGGATTAGTGGAAAACGAGAGGTAGAGCTGGGTATCATCAGCGTATTGATGATTCCGCAGCCCACACCTCCTGATGACCTCGCCCAGCGGTTTCATATAGATGTTAAATAGCAGAGGGGATAGAATGAAGCCCTGTGGTACTCCATGGCATAGCTGCCATGGCGCAGAGACATGGTCCCCCAGCACTACCTTCTGGAATCGACCGTTGAGATAGGAGCGGAACCACTGCAAAGCAGTGCCTCCAACTCCCAATCCCGCTAGCCTATCCAGAAGGATACCATGTTCGATGGTATCGAAAGCCGCTGAGAGGTCCAGGAGAACCAACAGGGACGCACTCCCCCTGTCCTTCTCCCTGCACAGGTCATCGTACAGGGCGACCAAGGCAGATTCAGTACTGTACCCGGGTCTGAAGCCGGACTGAAAAGGATCCAGATAATCAGTTTCATCCAAGAGTGCCTGGAGTTGTCCCGCCACCACTCACTCCAACACCTTGCCCAGAAACGGGATGTTGGCCACAGGTCTATAGTTAGTGGCCATCTCTGGATCCAGTGACGCTTTCTTCAGGACCAGTCGTATTACCGCCTCCTTTAAAGGGGCAGGCACTCGACCCTCCCTCAGAGAAGCGTTAACCACTTCCAAGATCCAGGACCCAATCCCGTGCTTGGAGTTATTTATTAACCAAGACGGGCAAGGATCCAATAGGCAAGTGGTGGGACGTACTCGTCCAAGCACCTTGTCCACATCATCGGGCCACAATAATTGAAATTCCTCCATTAATTTTGGACCAGACGGTAGCATTGGCGTCTCCCCAGAGACCTCTGATTCATTAGTGGAGTGCAGCTCGTGACGAATCTGAGCGATTTTCTCCCTGAAATGCCTGGCAAAGTCATCACAGCGGGCCTTTGAGGGTGGCATCGGATCTTCCTTAGGACCCGGGCGAACCAGGCCTTGTACCACTCGAAAAAGCTCCGCCGGACGGCATTGTTTCATCTATGGGAGGTCCATGACCTATGAAGTAGAGGAAACCCACCAGTGGAATGGAGGCAGTGGCGATCTTCATTTATTCCCCAGCTTCCTGCTATCCCCCACATCTCCCCAATGGCTTCAGAGGGTTGGAGGACCTTCTGAAACAGTGGGGGAAAGTGGCACTGGGGATTGTAAAGGAAGGGTCATTTTCCTTGCCTTAATTCCACTAGATTTCCACTAGGATCATGTTGAATGGAACACCACCCAGGGAAGTAGGCTGTACTAGAAAAGACACAAGCCCACCCCCTTAATTTCTTGGACAAGGAACAGTTTCTTATTATTTTACACAATAGTGATTTTTTTCAACCTGTTTCTATTAAAACACTTCACCAGCTGTTGTCTGTGGTGGCAAAACAGGCAATTTATCATTAGGGATACAGTGTACACATCCACACACTTACAAAACAGAACAAGAGTGCAAGCCCACTTCATTGATTTATCCTCCCACCTAATAACGATTCCCAACAGACAATTAACATTCATCTTCTTCACTGGGATAATTCCCAGGACAGAGATGCAGTTCAATGAATCCCAGCAATTTCAAACAATGACAAAATGGCACAGTAAGTAAAATCAAACAGCTTGTTGGATGCCGTCTGCAAACTCATTCCCAACCATTGACAGATGTGAGCAAGCATTTGCTGGCATCCGGCATCCTACTGTGACCTTTTGCTCACTCAAGCTGCTTCCTTGCTATATGACAGCAACTGAATGAAGAGATCTCGGCAAGATCCTCTGCTGAGTGGATTTTGCCAATTTACACCAACTCATAACGTGGACCATTAGATTACGCAGCAGTTTCACTATGAGTGCCCATAAGGAACTGTGAAGAAAGCAGCTGCTACTTTAAGCCAATTCTCTGTGCATTTGCAATGGATTTTCATTTAGTACAGAGGAAATTGGCAAGCTGTCCCAGAACCAGGAGAACCAACACAGATTGAGGATGGCAAATTCCTTGAATAATTTCTTATCATAACTCCAAACAAAAGCTGGAGAATAAATTCCTGTAACTTATTTGTGGAATCCCACCTGGGAGCAGCATCTACACTACCTGGGGTAACATGGGAGTGAGTCCCATAACATTCCAATACCAGATAGAACTGGCAAATTTCATATAGATATGCAAATGTATATTCTATGCAAAGTGAAGCTGAATGATTAGGGAAACAATAAGAGACATTTACATTGACATTACTTTTTAATACTGGGAGTTCGAGCCAGAACAGTTCTTCCACCAATAGAAGGATACCCACTGCAGCACCTCCCACCGCCACCCCCTTTCCAAACCTGCTCTGGAGCATGAGGGGACCCTCTGCAGCAGCTATGGAGGGCATCTGGGGTGCTGCAGGAGGGAAGAGAGTACAGGGGAGACAAACTCCACAAGCAATTACCTTCCACTGATGCCACAACCATTCTGGATCAAACCCAGGAAAAACAGGGTCTGTGGATAAGGGCAGTCATAGACACCTGAATTTATTTGTGTTTGTGCCTGGTATACATGTCCTAGGAAGCCACAGCAAACTGTAGTATCCCAATAATCCAGCATGTCGTAAAAATAAATGTGTAAGATAATCATATATGAGGATACAAAAGCACCTTTTTCCTTCACTGTCATGCTTTCTGCATGGGGAAAGTGAACTTCATAAGCATAAGACAGCTTGAAGACATGAGCATTTATTTCCAAGATACCATAGTTACTGTGTCCCTTTAAAGAAAATGTTTTTTACTTTTGTTGTTGTATCCAGGACTGCTGGGACAAGTAATCCTATCTCATAAATTGAACTATGTTCTCAAGCTAGTACTAAATAATAAGTGGATTTGGGTCATCTCTCATCCTATTCTCATATCTTCTTACTATTCCAATACCAAAAAAGAGCCACGTGGCTGCCCTTCCTCAGCTACAATCCACACAGTGCTAGAGCTCTTGGAACTGGGTTTAGGGAGCTGCTCTCAATTTCTTTCCTTCCCTCAACACTCAGGCAGTACAAAGCCAACGGCTGAGCCAGTGATCAGCAGAGAGCTGATGGAAAACAAGCTACAGCCGAGCAGTGTGTGCTCAGAACAGGAGGTGAGGGTTTGCTTTCCACTCTTATGATTCTTTGATGTTCGTGTGCGTTATCAGATCAGACCCATCACGTTCCAGGTGAAATGAGTTTTGGTCAGCCTTTTGCTCCCTACAGCTGTGAGAACTGATGTTGCTTGAAGGAAGTACCGAGGCCCTAACCCCATGATGTACAAATTACTCAAAGCTGCTGCCAGGGCCACAGGTCGGCCGAGGCACACATGCTTCAAGCAAACATATTTTTCTTCTCCGGGAGGTGTTAAGGAAGTAGAATAAAAGCATGAGCTTCAGGTTGCCTCACCTGAGTGGCTACAGGATTGCTCACGGTCCCTTTGCAGCTCCCAACCCCTGCTCGAGCGTTTCCTGCTCCATCCTGTCCCTGAGACTCCAAACAATTTGCTCCTTGCTTGAGGATCCCAGGAATTAGCTCCTTTTCTGGAACCCTGTGAGACCAACACAAAGCAAAATTGTCCATTCCATCTTCACAGAAGGTGCTATTACTCACTTTTGCATATTCCTCCCAGAACAAGGGCTCACATGCCATAGAAATGCAATCTCACCTCTGGAGTGAAATGTAATAGCACTACAGGTAGGATGGACTCTTGTGCATAGCCAAAAAAGAAGAAATGCACAGATTTCTTACATCTGCTAATTTATGGGGAGAGTTGCCAATTTAGAAACAATTACAAGATGGTGAAATATTCAAAATAGTCTTAAATCACCCGAGCATCTCTTAGGAAAGACATGCAAGCCATGTCTCCATAGCGGGGAAGACTGTGACCAGGTGTCCCATCTGTTTTCAAAATCTGCTCACCAGGTGTGAACACTTGAGCTCACAAGACCCAGCTCTCCCTTTTGATAGTGCTTTAGCTTTACAGTGGACTTGGACTGGGCAGCCCTCCTGCAAGAGGGCAGCCTTCAAAGGACTGTACTGCCGTCTGTAAAGTAGGCCCCTCATAGCATTGGGTTGCTCCAGCAGAAAGGGGAGAAAAATAATACTTCAATGCACTGAAGTCACTGGGAGAATTCCAGAAGAGAATGGTGGATGTGATAGCACCACGTTCTACCAAATGCATAGTGTTTATGTGAACCAATGAATGCAGAGCAGTTGTTTGTTTCTCGGTGGCCTCAGTTTGTCTCCAAGATTCACTCTGGCCCTTGATTTACCCACTCCTGCCCTTCGGTGAAAGACAGACCCAAGCCTTCAGACAGTTCAATTCTCACTAAGCAAACAAGCAGACTTTCTGACCTTTTAGAATTGTGGCAAAAGCTTTCACAATCAAAACAATTAATTCTAATAATGATGGAATATAAGTTGCTAACATGGCCATGGTGCTATTTTTCAAGAGCTCATTCCCTCTCCCATGGATGTAGCACTCAGCTGCATTCTTCTCTCACTGGATTATATATTTTCATTATATTTTTGTTTTGGCCTTCCAGAACATCCTACAAAACAAAACATATACCTTGCTGAGGCAGGTCTTGTGCTTCTGTTGCTTTCCTCTGCAAGAATTTGATCCTAACCCACTGTGCCTGCCACTAAATATCTTTCCTCAAAACAACTTTTTCTCAGCCTCTGTCTCCTGTTCCAAATTTCACAGTTCAAGCTGCAAAAATAAAGAAGCACTTGGTTCAAATATAAATGGAGGTTAGGCAGGACCATGTGGGGTGGGATTGGGTGAGACCCCGATTCCCCCAAAACCCTACAATAAGCCTCTGTAATGCCATAGCCATGCTTTTTATTGAAAAAGCACCTGACACTTTCTTTGCTGTCATAATTTTGGCTGATACATTCTGCAGTTTTACCTGAGATTCAAAGAATGACTCACTTGAGCTCAGGATACACATTCTCCAAGTACCACTGGAAGGATTTACAGTTTAGTTTCCTGCGTTGTTCCACACGGTCTGCAATACTGCAAACAAGAGCAAATGGTTCCTCTTTTCATTTGGGTAACAAAAGAGAAGACACAGGCACAATGCAAGGACATTTACAGAATTATTTAAGGCTTATTTTTCTGAAGTGCCATCACATTTGAGATGCTGCTGCTGAAACAATGCAGTGAGTATTGTATCTGGAAAGTCCCTTCAAATGTACTTTATGTCAATTAAAAAAAAAACCAAAACCTTAAAGCAGATGTGAGGATCACTTCTGTCTTTCCACCTGCCTCTTGTTCCTTTCCCAACGCATCTATTAATGGGGTCCTATTCTTGGTTGCATTTTTAGGCTCAGCCTTGGACCCGAATGCTCAGGCTTCAGCACAAGCCAGGCATGCCTTTGCATAGCTGGGGCTAGCACACCAATTGCACGTGTGCATTTTCACTGTTTTTTGTGTTTTTATACTGTTTTATATGGCTTTATTGTTCTAACCCGCACAGGGTGCTGCACAGCTAATAGAAATCAAATAATAAACAAACATAAAAATAAATTGCATACATCCCTGAAGACATATGATCTGGCCAGTCACACACGCCTTGGTTACATTCCATCGGGACAAATGCAATGCATGCTGCTTGGAGGTGCCTTAAAGAACTGTTCAGAAACTTCAGCTGGTCCAGAAACTGTGTTCAGACTCCTGGCTGAGGCTGGTTACAGAAAGTGCACGGGTGCTTCCTATAATGTCCTATACAGCTTGAGATGGGGCGACTTGAACCACTGTCTCCCATACGAGCCGGTCCAGTTCTTAAGGTCTTCTAGAGAAGCCCTTTTTTCCAGCCCACCACCTTCAGAGGCACGGTCAGTGGCAACCTGAAAGCCGCCGGCCTTCTCGGTGGCTGCTCCCTGGCCATCAAACTCCCTGCTGATCCGTGCATCACCTCTCTGTCGTCCTGCTAGTGGCAGGTGAAGACTGCCTTGTTCTGTAAGCCTGGAAGCTGTTTCTTTCCCCTCTGTTATAGTCATGCTTTTAACTGAGCACTAAATGGATTTATTTTATTGTTCTGTCCATTTTTATTAGCAATTGTAAGCTACTTTTGAGTTTGGGGTTTGGTAGAAATACAGAGTACAACTCAAACAAACAAATTGTAAATTCAGTGTTGGTCCAGAAGTCATTTTTGCCTTTTCTCTATGATTTAGGCCAGATTTCCCCAACTTGGTGTCCTTTAGTTATTTTGGACCTCAACTCCCATCTGTCCTGGCTAGTTTGGCCAAAGGTCAGAAACATTCAGAGTTCACTCTAATAACTTGCACCTGATACAGGTTGTGAACACAAACAGGAGAATAAGTCTAAGATTATGGGGTCTGCTGAACCAAGATTTTGTGCAAATGTAATCTTGGATTCTGCATGATAGCCAATGTAAAACTGTCACTATTATTGCCTCTTGAGCAATTGAGAAATTTCCCACATCTGATTTAGGATTGAATTCAGTTCCTTTTGTATTAGAGGGAGCATACTTCTCTGGATGCTTCTGCCAGTGGAAAGGGAAGTAGTGAACTTTGCAGATTCTTCCCACCCTGTGAATCCCCCAGTGCCATGAACCCCACTGTTCCGGAGGGTTCTCTAGCACCCTGGAACAGATGGTTTTTGGAAGGAGGATAAGAATTCCAGGGGATTGAGGAAGTGATGGAGACCACTTCCTCCTCAGTTCTTCCAACAGGGATGTGCCACTGGATTGAAAGCCGTCCACAGATGGGGGATGCTGAATCCAAGCTATAGCTTAGGGGTCAGTAACGTCGAACTCTCAATCTATTTTGAACTACAGGTCCTATCTGCCCCAGTAAACATGGACCATGATCAGGGTTTATGGGAGCAGCACTTCAAACCAGCTGGAGGGTACCACCAGCTGCTTCTCCCTGCCACAGAGTTTTAGTTCACATATAGTATTTATATACTGATTTTCAGGTGGCCCAAATATCAAATATTTAAACACTAAGCATTAACAGAAATTATACATTACAGCAGAAAGGGATAGCAACTGTTAGTCTTAAAGAAGCAGTTCCTGCTTTTTCTCCCCTCTGGAACAGAGATTCTTCAAAGGTCCTGTGATGGCCACTGGGGAAGGAAGGTGGGAGAGGCTGCCACTGGAAGCGGGTTGGCAGTAGCTCTCCAAACTGCTTCTGCATGAGGGTTTTGAAAGCTTTCAACATGGAATGGCAGATCTCTGAATCCTGGTTTTACCTGTATTATTCCTGGGAGCAGGTGGGCAGCTTAGCACTTCATAAACAGAACTGGAAGTAATTACAACCAGCCAGTCAGTCAACCATAACTACACACACACACTTACTCTTTTTGGGAGGCTACAGAATGGATAGCAACTGTTGTGCTAATCAAGAGCTAACATCATGGAAAATACCCTTATGAGATATTCAGAACTGCCATTCATGAGACCAAAAAGGTAAAAGCTGTATATTTTCCCGGAATAATCTGTTCTTTCAGAGTTGCAAAACTGAATGGGCTTGTTTCTTGGGTACAGTTATTCTCAGGCAAAAAGGAAGCAGAATGAGATGGAGGAGCCTCTGACAAGTTTGAGCACTGGTGCTCTGAGAACAGAGGTGAAGGTACAGGCAGGATGGGACAGAGGTGCCATTTGCTGTCACTCAGGAGAACAAACAGAGGACTGAAGCACCTTGCTGTTAGCCCAGAAAGTTTCGTCTTCTGTTTTATCCTCTAGAAATAAATTCATCCTTACTGACATTAAAGACGCCAACAGCCGCTTGTTCCCAAGAACCTGGTGAGGCTTGGCCTGCCCTTGCACAGAGAATTTGGGAAGGAGCAGGTGTTCAGAAGGCTTTTCTTCATTCTGACTTCAGTTTAGTCTCTTGGGAGAGCTAATGTCATGTTACTTTGCTAGGTGTTGCTGCTATCTTAGACAGTTTATGGCTGCGCTTGCTGTGAATGGCCACCGGGTCCTGTTATTTTGCTCTAGGCTTTTTACCCATAAAAATCAATTCTAAAATGCTGTATTCTGACCAAAAACAAAAGCAAAACGGCTGCAATAAACAAAGCCACCCCACCAAAGCACCCATATACTCCCATTCAGAGAAGAAAAGTGTCCTTTAAAAATACAACACATGTACATCACCCTTCAAAGCCTACAACACCAGACAATCCATCGCAAGAAGATTACATATTGACTTTGCTAAGTTATCTTTGCAGTAAATGTTCCTTATTGCTGGATTATAAGAATGTAAGAACCACTCTGCTGGATCAGAACAAAGGTCTCTCTAGTCCAGTGCCCTGTTTCCCACAATGGTCACCCACATGCATCTTGGGAAGCCCAAAAACAGGGCATGAGGAGAATTCCCATCCCTCAAGATTGTTTCTCGGCAAGTAGTATGGAGGTAGTATATAGCCTTCATGATTAGTAGCTACAGAGAGAATTATCTTCCAGGAATATGACTCATCTTTAAAGCCATCTAGTTCACGCCATTCAGGTATAAACAGCCATTACAAAACAGTGCAGATGATGGATTTATGTTCAAGAGTAAAACAAATCAAAAGCAAGAATGTATTTTTCTACTTTTTGAATCACGTTACCAAAAGCATGTTAGGTCTATACTTTTTTCTCAGCGCTCTCTCTCTAGGGATGGACTGATCAGTCTACTTACCATCTGTGCTACTTTTGCATCTATTCATTCAGAAATCTGTTCCATCCTGTTTCCAGATTAAACTACCAACCTTTTGCATTTTCTTGCAAAATATACTTTGAAATTGACTTATTTCAAAATATACATTTATAAATACATTTAATCCAGAAATATGCATTTCAACATGTATTTTTGAGCTGAGAACGATATTATTATTATTATTATTATTATTATTATTATTATTATTATTATAATAACATTTCTATGCCGCCCCTTGCCAAAGACTTGGGGCGGCTTACAACACAATACAATACAATACAAAAATAACAATATAAAATTAAAATTAATAATATAAAATAAATAAAAAATATAAGCAATATAAAAGAAGTTATAAAAGAAAAGAAAAGAAGTCACCCTGGCCAGATAAATAAGTAAATATTGTTAACAATTAAAATGACGTTTAAATAAAAAGGTTTAAATATCACAAGAACTGAATAAATACAAAATCTGAAGGATGTTTATATTCCATTCTGCTTATCAGTCCAGGAAGCAAGAATTGGGTCCATTTGTATCAGAATGTACAAAGAGCAATTATGTCAAGCACCTGAGAGTGACTTAACACAGATGACTTACCAAGATCTTAATCTGCCCAGTTTGGGATGCTTACCTTCCAAATGACTTTCCAATGGCAGACGGTCGTGCCTCATAGTAATACTGTTTGTACTCATCCATCCATACTTCTGCTGTACGTTTAGTATTTCTGCAAGTTGGACAGGAGAAACACTGTTAGACATGGTTATTCTGCAGCACAGCTTGCCAGGACATAAAATTAAGGGACCTCTTGCAGAAACTTCAGCTCTACATAACTCAAGTGACCAATAAATTTGGAAGAACAAATACTCCAGAAAGAAAGGATTGATGAGGACTTGTGTCATAACTAAGGATAGTGGTAAAATCTGCAATGGATTAAAATATCAGATTTCTGTAGATCTGTCTGACAAATTCTACAGAAGACCAGCTTTTCCAGGTGATTGGAATCTGTGACCTTGCGAACGATTTAAAAACCCTTTTGCAGGGGTTGTGCACTTAAGAAACTGCACAATTGCACTTATGAAGATCAGTGCAAATGTTACTTTTACAATGGAACAAACATCTCGTACCAAAATCACAGTGCCATCAATGAGCAGACAATGTGCCTAAAGATGCCTGACAGTTCTCAAAACACAGATGAAATGGATTTTAATTTTTTAACCTGCCCAATGAGTTTTTTGGCTAATGGGTAGGGATAGAAATCTAATAAATAAATAAATAAATAAATTAGCAAACGTTGTAAATCCCTAATCATACCTCTCTGCATCACATGAGCAGCACACTGTTAACCTGTAGAGCGTGCAAGGTTAAGATGTGCGGAAAGAACATACCTGATTCATACATCCCAATTGTCGGAACGACATAAAATAGCTCTTGTGTTGTTTTGTATGGTGTACAGTGTACATTTTCTTGACATTTAAAGTAATTCAGACCCTGCCCACCAATAAGTTCAAACGCAGTATCCATGTTTCTGATTCTAGAATCTAAAGGGGTCTTAAAGCTGTTTGATGATATTTTTTACTTCAAAACAAACCACGAGCATCATGAGGGTTGGGAACGACTGGGCACATTAGTCTGAAAAAATATGTCGAGTATAACTGCACCTCCTTCCATGAAACAGTCAATAACGTCTTAGAGCAATCACTCAGTTGTCCTCATGGCCTCCACTCACAGCTGCCACACTTCTGTGGCTCATCTGGAGGAACCAGATGCCTCAGCTACAACCTCTTTGCCCCCTTAAATACTCGATATCTTATGAGGGGGAAGAGCACCTTCGTGCTGCTACCACCATCTTCACCATCATGGTTGTGCTGTATCTTACTGATATCCATCTCCTGGTGACATCTGAAGGCAGGCGCCTTTTCCATGGAGATGCCTCTCTGCAAATCGAACATCAAACCCTCCCACTAGAAATCAACCATGTTCTGACTCATGAGGAACTTTTAAAATTTCCCTTCACCTTTTAATTCACACTCACTGTTTAATGGTGCCTGCTATGATTTCTAATTGAGGGCCTACTGATTTGTTATTGTACTTTCTTTTAGTTATAATTTATATTTATATTGTAGTGTTATTGTTGTACACCACCTGGATATGTTATACATGGCAGATGGCACAGAAAATAATTTTAAATAAATGAAGCTGCAGCAGCTGTGAGTGATGAGGCAGTGAGGGCAGCCGCCCGCCCGCCCGCCTGCCGCAGGATCTTATTAGTGGCCACATTGGGGTTCAGAAACCTCCTGTGTGGTGACATTGCATCATCAGCTTTGCATCATTGAGGGCTATTGGGGAAAAGTGCAGGAAAAGTGGGGTTGATGAGTTTGGCAGCCAGTCTGTTCCCCATAACAACAAAATATAGGCACTTTTTGAAATGCTTCCCAGAGTATTATTGGTGGGTTATTATAGGCCACAGATACTGTGTCCATGCAGTTGTGCTCTTGCATTGTAACCCTTCATACTTAATTTTAAAACAGTTACATTGACATAAAATTTGGACTCATCAAATATGCTTTATGGCTTTCTTTAACTGCTAGTTAATTGGGGTATAGCTCACATGCTGTATGATATTTTTCCAAGTATACAAACCTACTCTAATGCACTCTAAGACCATAATCTTCTTGCTTCCTGATGCTGCCTGGTGGGACACAGGGTTTTTGGAGTCCCAGTTCCAAGAACCTTTCATGACCAAGCCTCAGCCACACCTCCCTCAGAGATGGCATGGAAGGAACCATCCTGGCTCCTTCCCTGAGAGAGGAAAGGCATCTTGGACAGAGGGGAAAGGGGGTGCAGGGGGTGCAGGGAGGAGACTGGGGCTGCCTTTCCTGCCACTACAACTAGATGGTGGACAATAGCTGTCTGGAGGAAATACACAGGGTGAGGCCTGCTCGCTCCTGCATTGGATCCTTGTGTGTGTTACAACTGGACTGACTCTTAACTCATTTTAGTCCTGTTCCAACTAAAATGACTGGGAGAGCCAGCGTGGCATGCTGGTTAAGAGCACAGGACTGGGACTCAGGCGATCTGGGTTCTAGGCCCCACTCAGCCATGGAGCCAACTGGGTGACTTTGGGCCAGTCACAGACTCTCAGCCCAACCTACCTCACAGGGTTGTTGTGGTGGTGAGAAGAGAGAGAGTAGAGGAGAATAACGTAAGCTGGCTTGAGTACAGTGTAAGAAAAAAGGCAGGATATAAACCTAATGAACAAATAAATAAAATATTTTCTGAGCACTAAATGTTGGCTACATGTGTGAATACATGGAACAACAGTAAAGAAGGTGTAAATGAAACAGCACTCCAGATTGCTTTGGCTAGGGCTCTGTCAGGCCAAATGCACGCTACTGCCCTTCTTCCTGAAGAAGTGACCCATTCCTACTTGATATAGGTCAGTGCGTTGCCCTCAGGGAAGTCATACGGATGGCGTTTCCTGAAAACATGGCCCACTCGGCTGCAGGGAACAATCTCCAAGCTACCTCCACACATCCAGACTCGGAAAGAAAGCTCTAGAAAAGAGTCAAAGCAAGAGGGAAAATGAGATAAGACAAGAAACCCCAAGAATTTGACATCTTTTTACTCTCCTCACCTGACATATACAGAAGACAATGGCAAAAGCAAGAATGGATGACGTGGAAGAAATTTGAAGAGAAGAAATTTGTTAAACTGAGAAGAGGAAAAGATTCTGGTCTCCCTCCAACTGATTCCCCCTTTCTGGTCCTTCTGATCAGATGAGTGTAGACGCTTCAGGCTCTTTAAGGGGGAATCTTACAAAAGCTGCCACAATTTGTGACATTATGCTGCACAACAGAGCAGTGCACCAGAGTTTCTTTTAGTGTGAATATGGTAATGTTTAAGAATTTAAGATGGGCAGAAACTCTAAGTAGGAAGACTGTAAATATTACAGAACAGTTTCAAAGAACATGAAAGGAATCGGTTTTGGGGGTGGCAAGATAATCTGTGTGAAAGAGTTCAAAGTAAGAGACAAAACTGGGAGACAAATGTATGATGTTAAGGGCACTGATAAAAATAGGCAGATACACTGTACTAGAAACCATTGTGGGGCTCCAAGCAAAACATTCCAGATGCATTTATCACTGAGATTACAGAATTGCAAAAAGATTATGAGGAATCTGGAAAAACATGTAATCCACTTTAATCACTGCTTAAGGCAGTGTCTGCACTGTTCAGTTTGCATGCTTTTTAAAATCATTACACACCACAAGCACTAGAGCAGTCTGCACCTATTAAGGGAATAGCCCTGAGATCTGCAAATTCTGGGTATCAGCATCATACTGTGTTCTCTCAGGCTCATTAGAATACTCTCCTTTTCTTAATATTTGAATTCCACTCGGCGCATGCTTGGGGATACCTAGATGCAGAACCCAAGCTCCACCACTGATTCACAGTTTAACAATCCAGTTTCCTGAAGAAAGAGTCTGACCCTTTTTATTCAAGAAGGAACATCTCCCCCTTAACTTTCACAGGTTTTGCTGTCCTGAAGTGAAATTCAGTCTTTTTTAAAGGATCAGAGGACCACCAGGGCTTTGATGTTCAAAAGCTCATTTGAATCACTGTGGAGAGGTGACCTTGCCGAGGCTTATTGGTCTATCCCTCTGTGTTTAATATTTGCCACTTGGGTCAAGCTCCATATTTGCAGAAAAATTTGCATATTTCTTTGGAGGTGCAAAGGAAACATCAGAAAGGGATGGCAAAATAAATAGCGGAGGAGGAGTGAGACAAGAAATGGGGATAGAACAGACTTTTACAGATGCTTCATATTATGGCTTGCCCTTGATGTGAACACTGAAGGTTACTATTAGATGGTGAAATACAGAGGTGGCTGGTGAAACATTGGCACAAGCTGGAGCAGGAAGACCAGACAAAACAGCACCCCATAATGTCAGCATCCCTAGATCAGAGGCATGCAACCTGTGTTGTTAAGAGTCCAACTCCTGTCAGCCCCATCCAGCATGGCCAATGGTCAGGAATGACTGGAACCAGAGCTGAACAACATTTGGAGAGCCGCAAGTTCTCACTCCTGTTCCAGCTCCTGATCTTCATCCCAATTCTCTAAATATTGTTCAGGACCATTATATTCAGGGTTTCTTCACAGTGGCACCCACCCTACAGAATCTGTGGAGGACTTTGATCTGTCCAGCATATTGCAAATTTTTAAAAAGGGCTGAAAACCTTTCTTTTCACCAAAGCTCTTACAGCAATCTGGTTTCAATTAGTTTAGCTGAGAAACATCTATTTATATCTGTCTTCTATCCTGGTTGATTTTAGTGGTGTTTAAATGGTATTTAATTACAGTTTTATTGCAATCACATTGGATTATTTATATAAGATAATTTGGGAGTCCGCTGGTTGAAAAGTTGCATAGAAATAGAATAAATAAATTAGACCTGGACCCAGAATCTTAAATCCATTCCCCATCTCACAATGCTAGAAACCCCCCTCCACAAAGTCCTTAGAGACCTCCAGCCCTCATCTCCAGTTCCTAGACCCCTCCCCACCACACACACACACAATCCTAAGCCCACTGATAGACAACATGAGTTCAACTGGAAACCTTCAGCTTGTAGCAATTATATTTTCTATCCCTTGCCTTCTTCTGGATCCCTGTGCAGACACATATGCCCACAAGAGCTATTCTAAGTACACATGCAAGCCAATAATAAAGATCCTACCAAGGTACTGACTAATAATCTGTATGATCATATTGACATACACATAGATCTGCACAGGAATATGCATGGTGGTCAGCAACAAATTCTATCAGCTTACAAGAAGCTCTTGCACAAGTTCCAAAGGAAGGGTCTACAACACTGCTATCCAGGGGAACATTTTGCATTGTGATAACCAGGGATAGCAAGACTGATTTGTGAAGGACTGGGAAGAAAGGGCAACATGAGGAGGAAGCTGCCCAGACAGCTTTAGGCTACTGGGCAGTATAGAATAAAAGGAATCAAATGGAGAACTCAAGGTATCCAACTCACCAAAGTTCTCTCCTCCCCAGATATCCATCTGGGTGTCATATTTTCCAAGGTGATTAAACCAAGACTTATCGATCACAAATATGCCCCCAGCGATGACAGGCGTCCTGGAGAAAATAGGGGCAAGAATGAGCATACACATAATGTTAATACAGTATTCTTAGGTAAAGGAACATGTTACATTTGTGCAGTGGCATGTTATTAGCCCTGCTGGCTGAGTGCTACCTCCCTTACTAGAGGTGGCGTGCCTGCATGCTTCAGTTGCTGAGGGGCTGGGCAGGAGGAGATCCCGCACCCACCCTACTTGAGGGATCCTGTGGGCAGCTGTTTGCCACCTTGTGGATGAAGTGCTGGACTAGGTGGACCTTTGGGCTGCCCCAGCATGGCCTTTCCTATGTATTGTCTACAGTGTTTTAGAAAGTACAGTACATAGTCACCAGAAATCCCTCATGAACTGGTACAGGAGCAATAACTTTACCATGAGCTGCAAGATCTCATGTCCTCCCATATACATGTCCATGTAAATACACAACACACACACCTTTTATCTGTAGTTGAATTTTCACTGGTGGCAGCGGGTCTGTGTAACCAGAGTGGTAAACGCCTTCAAACATTGTTTAAGAATCCTGCTTGTGCAAGGATCCTATTTAGCCTTATCCATGATTCATGCATACAACAGTGGAATATAAAGTGGCAGAGGAATTCACATCAGAAGGCATCATGGGGGAGAAGACACAATCACACAGCCTGCTCTTGATCCTGCCCCATGACACCTACACTGGCTCTATGAAGAAACTAAGCAGGTGGAATTTTCCACACCCAGATTGAGGAGATAGTTGCACAGGTGCTTCCTTTGCTCCCAGATGAACTGTCTAGTCCCAGCTGAGAAGAAGAAGCACCCTGGGCAAAGACAGGTAAGTTTTATGCATGGTCTGTGGAATGCACAGTCTACCCAGGTGGACCACCTGAGACCAAAATGGACTAAAAACCATTCTGGACTGCAGAATTTGGATGCACTGTCCCAAGTCTCCTAAATTCAGTCAATGTGGACATGCCCTAATATAATCTTTGTCCAAAATGTAGTTCTCAGGAGTGTAGAGCCAGCCGCTGCTACTTCTGAGATTCTGCTACAGTTCAAAGGAAACTCAGACTATTTCTTTTAATTTGGCTGGCTTTGCCAGCCCTTATCAGAAATGTTCATGATCTATGTAACACACAAAACTGAATTCAGTAGTGATTATGGAAGTTATAATAGAAAGCACGTGCTGATTGCTTTGTCTAAACCTTAAGGGTGGCCTGGTGTTGAAAGCAGCAGAATTTATTTGAGGCTGCAACTGGCACCCCAGTTTGGAAAAGTCAGCAAATCCCACTAGATAATAGCAACAATTTCTAAAACAGGACAGTGGCATTTCCCTTGCCTTCACAAAGGTGATGGCAGCATATATTCATTACTGTCTGAAAAACCAATGTAATATGCATTGCATGTTATAGTAGTGGAAACCACTCAAGCCAACAGATTGAGTTGCAAGTATTTGTCAGGAATATTAATGCTCTTTGGGGAACAATAGCTATTGATTAGCTGTAGCTCCAAAATGAACCATCCCTGACCCCTGAATACTTCCCATGGCAACACCAACGAACAAAGCAGCTTTTTATATTAGATAAAAGATGAAGTCTGAAAATGGCATTCAAAGAGAATTTACCTTATGGACTGGGTAGGGTCTGTTCTGGACAACTTTTGTTCAATGGGGATCTGCTCCCACTTAAAGTGAAGACTCCAGTCAAATCCTAGAACACAAGGAAAGAGGAAAACACAAGAAAAGCGATAGAAGGGTCTACGGGCAATGTAAAAGTGAGCAGAATAGGATTCAGCTGTCCATTTGAGATACATTGAGAAAATCATTTAGAGAGCTTTGATTGCAGAGCTATGAGCAATCGACACCTGAGGCCTTCCTCTGAGGGAGACTTGGAGGAAGGCAACAACTGCCATCTTGTCAACAACAAACACAGCAACTACAAAATTGTGACTTTAACCATCATTATTGATTGTTATCCTGTCACTTGGATGTTAAGAATTAAGACCTTCCTCTACTCCCAGGCATTTACCAGCTCATGACAGAGTCTTTTGAGAAGCCTTGGGGATTTTATTGCAGATGGTTTAAAACTGATTTTGCATTTCTGTATGTCAAAGTTTTAAAAGTTATTCCATCGCATTTTAAGGATTTTACACTTTGCAAACATCCTGGAGAGCTTTGACTATGGGGTGTTATAGACACATAACAAATGCAGTGTGAGACAGCGATGGTCAGATGCTGGAGATTCTGATTCGGCACTCGGGACCCCAGGGCAACAAGCGCCTCCTAGGCCACGGCAAAATGCAGACTTGTAGCTTGGCCAGAGGCATCCCCATTCCTTAGTGGTATTTATCTGTGCTCAATTGCATTCCAAATCTTCCAATGTTTGTTCCCAGAGAGAAACGCAATAATTAGTGCTTCAGCCCTTCCACTGAAGCTGTCCTATGCCTCATTGGCTGCCAAAGTTATGAGGCATTAATCAGCCCTCTCAGTGGGACAACACGTGTTTCCGGGAACAGAGTCACTCTGTTTGTGGTAATTGGCTTTTCCCCACATGCATCACATAAAACATTGCCTGATTTACACCTTTTTTGTTTGTTGGCAAACTGAGTAGATCCTGTGGGAAGGAAGGTGGATGGCAGGAGGTGTATGTGTGTCTACAGAAGTGAAAGGGAAGGGAAACTGAGACAGGCAATTGCCAAAGCGAACTTAAGAGCAGCAACAATTTAAAGGGGCTGCAAACATTGGAAGATGACATGGGTTGCCTTTGAGGGGAACAAATAGAGCAGTCTGATTTCCTCCTTTTGGAGTCCATATTTGAGCAAAGGGAAATGAAAGGACACTCAGGATTCCTGTTTGCTGCACAGAGGTATTTTAAAACCATGTGTTTCAGGCAGCAATCCTATATACATTTAGGTAGAAAAAGGTCTTTTAATTCCCAGCATTGCCCAGCCAGCATAGGGTAAAATTCTTAAGAACATAATCTTAATGCTGCCTTGAGTGCTATTTTGTGTCTTTCACTGTCATACTCACTGCAGGCAGCAATTTTCACTGTTTCTAAGTTTTTGCATGAATCGCAAATGTATTTGCATCAGGTTTCCTTCACAACATGAAGGCTGGATGTGTGTGTGTGTGTCTGTGTCTCTTTCTCATGCACACATGTGCACATACACGCACACATACACACAGAAGGAAAGCTGGATTCTGAAGAAAAGTATGGACCACACATGGCTAAACTTCATGATCATAGCCATGAAATTTCTTAGATACAGAAGCCAGGTTCACCGCTGGTGAAATTATTGTTTTTCAGGTATATTTAGCATTAGGGATGGAAAGGAACAAGCCATGTGGAGCTCTTCTGAGAAGGAGGGGGGAAGTGGAAGCTTTCTTTGGAATTTACTTCTTCACCTTACCTACCTCCCCTCAAATCTGCTGATGCTGCTAAGTAGGCAAAATTGTCCAGGCTTATTACATCGATGATAGGACTCACCACTCGAGTATAATCCTGAAAGAATAGGAAAAAGGAAGGAAATTAGAATTTTGCCGGCAGGGAGAGAGATTAAGCTTCAGGAAATCAGAGACCAGAAGATTTATGCACATGGCAGAATGAGAAAAGCATCTGCATGCTGCACCGCTTCCCTTTGTTATCTCCAGCTTCCTTGCTGGTAGTAAGACAGAATCTGGAGGCTTTGCACATAAAATTGTTTTTTGCAGCACTGCTAAAGAGGGAAGAGTCAGAGTACAATGGCTATTGCTAAATGCTTGCTTTTCTGGACACACACACAGGACTCAGTTTCAAAGGGTTATTGATCAGAGTCACTATCAGATTGCGCTACGGTACTCTTAAGCTTCGATTTTCTGAGGTCATTCCAAGAAAATATGTTGATGGGCTAGAGTCATAAAGGTGAGAACTGCTACTTCTGAGGGAAGTCATTTCCTTTTCCTCTTTCACTAAGGCAAGGGATGGGCAACCTCAGGTGCTTCGGGAGCCAATTTCAACCCACCAAAGCCTTCCCAGGGGCTGCATCTGAACCCCCTTGCATCACCACATCTTGCCAGTGACAGCAGCAACAACAAGACAGCCGGTGGCTTGCCACAGATGGTGGCAGCAAACTGCAGCGGGACTCCAGAAAGGACCATTTTACCTTTAAAACAAGGCTTCGCATTTTCATTTGGCCTTTAAGACTGACACTGACACCAAACCACTGACTGCCTTGCCACTGCCACTGCGGCAGCAGGGGAACGGTGGCTGCCACCCTTCAGGCTGCCGGTCCCAAACAGCCCAAAGGCTGCATGCCACTCACCACCGACAACCTCCAAGTTATCATGGAGAAAGCCTCCTCTTGGAACATGATCGATATGATTTCTTTAAATCCAGGCAGCAGCATTTTTCAGACTTTTCTTCATACTTTAGTGAATTTGGCTTGCTTAGACAGTCAATAAGAATTGTTCAAATGAAGCCTCTTCAGGGGAATGTGCCTTTCCAACTGTGCTTATTGCTCTTACCAGTGAGTCCACACCAGGTGGTCCCAGGGATGTGCCTGGAAACAGCTGGTGAAACCTGAGTTGGCATCCCTAATTAGGGCTCTGATTCCACATTTTTTCCACAGTAAACTGTGTATCTCATCAAAGAGATACTCACTCCCCTGAAAAGTCCCTGGTTGATGTCTAAAAATATATTTAATTAGCTACATGTACTCCTACTAAGGCTGCTGCTTGCAATGGCAGGCCAGATACATCCTCCCAAGTAGAGCTACTCATGGATGGGCTGTCCAGCAAGCCATTCCAAGGGTTGGTCCACAAGGAGTTTCCAGTTCTCTAAATTTCACTTATTTGGCTCTGGACTGCAATACCCAATGGAGTAAAAGCCTCTTCAGACCCAGAACTACCCAGATACCATGATCAGCCTCACAGTCCTCCGTTGGACTGCCTGCTCCAAGCAGGCTTGCAAATGTGGCAAGAGGGAAGGGGGCCTCCTCAGTGTGTCCCACCCCACACCTTGATCACAGAATGATCTTCTCACTCAGGTCTGCTTGGCACCATCACTGCCATCTTTTCAGCATCAGTCCTCCTCTGCTGCTGACATTTGTTGTTTTATGATGGAGCATTAGTGTCAATAGTTTTTATCAGGTCCAGTGTCTTACTGTAACTGTTCTAGCTGTGCAGAGAGTTTTACATTTTGTATGTTAAGGAGTTTATCTCATGTTTTAATCATCCTGGATCGCGGCATTCCTTTTTGTGAACCCCCCAGAAAGCTTCAGCTACTGGATAGGATACCAATTAAATTAAAAAATGAGAAAGGGGATCATGGATGGAGAATGGCATAGAGTGGGATTAAGATGGCCGCTTATATGGAAGGTTTCCAGACACCCTATCAAACAGTAGCCTGGAGCTTTCCTTTGCCAGAGGATCTAATGAGGAATATTGGAAACGCACATTAATAATTTCTATTGCCCTTTTTTCATGTGCTGGCTACAAGACGCAGAAGCCTATGAAAAGAAGATGAGAGCTTGCTTCCTCCCATCCAAGAAGCAACTTTGGAAGGGAGCCCTGGTGCAGAAAGGGTTCATAAGGAAAACGCACAGGGGAAATCCGGGAGCTGCCTATCAGTGCGAGGATTAAGAAAGACAAAGGGGTGAGCAAAAAGGCCAGAAGCTAGCCTCGCTCTAAGCTGTTTTAATGCCAACAGACAGACCAGATGTTCCATGTTTAGGCAATAAAAATCTATGGGCTGGAGATAACAGTCAGAGCTGGCACTGACAACGTACAAGAGATCTCAGTACCAACCAGCACCACACACATCAAAAGACAACAGTTTCAGAAATGGGGGCCTTGAGAATGGCACGTTCTGCACTGACAGCAACGGTCCAGTCCCAACCTTGTGGCTGGAGGACTGCATGGTTCTTTGCCCAAAGATCTGACATCTAGACTCAAGAATGAGGAAGGAAATGTCTCTAGGTATGTTTAGTACACAGGTTTATTTTAGTAGTATCACCAACATTGTTCCCTGCCCTCCACAAACTGGGAGTGCTGAGAATTATGTTAGCTACCCAAACCCCTTGCAGAATGACATTACCACAGAAGAACAAATATATCTACCAGATGCAGTGCAGCTGAGCCACTGCTCTTTCTCTCGCACTTGCAGGACCCACTGTGAGTGCAACCAAAAGCCAGCATTTCCTGAAATGACCCTGGAAACAAGCTCAAGCCATTAGTCCCTGAAATAAGGCAGGCCAGCAGAACTCTCTTCTGCGAGACTGCTGACCTCCCCTCTTCTGGAAATGAGCATTCTGGTGCATTCCAGCTTGCTTTTGCGAGTGGCAGGTCATGTGAACACATGGGCAGCCTTGCACTAGCAGTGGGTCCTGCTGAGACAAGGGTGGCATTGCATACAGTGTGTTGTGCGTAGGCGCTTGGATGAGATTCTCAGGCACGCACGAGAGATGGCTGGTGTGGGAAGGATAGCTCGGAGGAGGGGATGCTGAACCAGACATGGCTCAGAGTTCACACTCTGATAACAGAGTTGTTGTTGCAACTCACAGGCACACATCTGGTCAAACCCTCCCATCATGCCAGCCTGAGCTGGCTCTGGATCAAAGGAGTCCAAGGACAACCTTGGCGCTGAGTCTCCCTCCTGCCTGTGGGAAAAGGCAGACAAAGGATGGGGGCGGGGGGAGAATTCTCAGAGGGAGAACACAGGCCCCCTCAAGACGTGGATGCTGGACCAATCAGGGCTGAGAGTGCAGGGAAGACACACGTGCTTTCACAGCGTGGCTCCTTCCAGAGTCCGGCCCCGAAGGGTTCATAAGCAAAGCTTTGGGTAAAGGGAGGCAGAGAGGGGTCATTTCTCCTTGTGTATGCGCCAAGGCTTGTGAATGCCCAGACTCCTGTGTAGAATAAAGACTCTTCCAAAAATTGCTGAAGTGGCTGTCTTGATTGGAAAGGGGATGCCTAGCTCACAACACAGTGTTGTAAACTGCCCAGAGAGCTTTGGCTAGAGGACGGTATAGAAATGTAATCACTAAGTAATAATCGCCATCACCATCAACATAATCATAATATAATTCAGCCTATGAACCCAGAATGAATGACACTGAAGTTACAGGTTTCCCCACCCTACAAAGATCCAGGACCAAAATCCATTAGTCCTGGCCAGCCTGCATGAATTCAAGATAATACTCTCCAACTAAAGATTTGTCTTCACTTAAGACGTCCAAGTGCAGTAATGACCTGGAACATGTGTGCGTGCTTGAACTCTCATCGCACCATCCAATGACAATAAGCCCATGACCAATTTTGGACCCAGATTCTCCTCTGGTGCTCAGCTGTCCAAGCACACCTCCCCCTGTGCAGCAGCAACTGTGGAGCTGCCACTGCTATTGTTGCTCCTGCCAGCAGAATGATTTTATGATCAAATATAAAGCAGACATTTATAGGCTACTGAGAGGGAGGATTTATTACACTGATGCTTTTTAGTCACCATTTCTAAGGTTTCACCTTCTACCTCCTCTGGACACTAAACTGAACATATATGTAATTTGCATCTCCAGCAGTTCTTCCTGCTTGTCTCCTGGGTCCTGTTAACTATGCAGGAACATTATTTTTTTTAGAAGGATAAAACCGGCCTCAAAGGTGGCAGGAAGATCCACCCTCCCCACTTCAGCTCCATCACTAGAGAGTCTTCAGCAGCGCAGTCACATCCTCTTGCGGTCCCCCTTGGCACACCCGGGACAGGAGCTGCCAACTCAGCTGTCTCGCTGTGCTCTCCTTCTACCCCAGGGTTAGCACCTTTCTTGCAGATGAACTCCAATAATATACTGCTGCACAGTGCTGGGATATATTCTGCAGATTATGGGTCTTGCTCTTGTGCAAGTAACACTAGGAGGCAGGAGAGGGAATTCTGCAAATTGGGAAAAGAAACCTGGGTGCCTCGTTTCTTATTTGCAGTGCTTTGTGTCTTGCCTATCCTTGTGAGTGCTATGTAGGCCATGCATGGAGCTGGATGCTGACCAATAACTAAGGAAAGGCATGAAGCAGGGGCCGGCGGGGGGAGACATGCTCACCTCTTTCACCCTCTGAAGCATTGGCTGCAGCCATTCACTGTTCACTTCGCAGTGGCTGTCCAGGAAGGTGAGAATGTCAGCTGTTGCTGTATCAGCACCTCGCACTCGAGAGCGGATCAGGCCTGAAAGGGGGAGTGGAAGGCAACAGAGAGAGAAGGATGGTGGACTAGTACAGAATTGTTTAGGGAAGAGACCAAGGAATGCTGCTATTTAGACCAGTCAACCAGTGATTAACAAATTGATCAATGGCATCCTAAGTGCAATATTGGAATCCGTCCTTTAACCAGGAGGTGCAGTAAGCCAAAGGGTGAGAAGAAACCGGGGAAATTACAGCTAACTACTTCTTGTACCATCACTGTTTTGACTAAAATTTTATATATATGTATGTCTTTCTTTTTTAAGTAATAGTTCTATTTATGTTCTCCTGGAGATCCTCCCTCTTATATGACCCCCAGTGCAGAAGAAGGTGCACAGAGAGCATCCAAGCTGTCTTTGTGACTTATGGTTCCTTCCTCCTTCCCACAGAGTGGTAGACCATTTAAGGTGGCCAAAGCCAAGAGGCTTAAGAGTCTTCCAGATAGCCTTGCAAAATTTCTTAGCTGATCAGGCCTGCCATTTTTGTTGGAAACCTGGCATAAGAAGCCGGCTGTAGGCTGACACAATAGTTTCCAGACCCCCTTTTCTGGTTGCCAGAACACAACCCTCTGTGCCTCAGCAGATTAGATGGTGAGGTGCGATCAAGCAACAGGTAAGCTGACCCAAATACAAGTAAAGAAAAGCCTGCAGCAAATTTAGCCAAACTCAGCTTAAAGACTGTTTGAAGGCCTCTGCCATTTCTTCTTTCCCACCATTAGGTCTGCACAGTCTCATCTAGTGGAGCTTTTCTGAGTGGTGAAAAGGTTTTTTATAACCTGGGTCCCCTTCACGGGACAGTTAGCATCCTCAAGATGTTTGTTCAGCCTCTGTCCATGATTACTAGCGTTAAAAACGTATGAGAGTTGATGGCCTTTTTGTGGAGCCAATCTGTGGAATATATTCGCTCTTAATTAAAGAGAGATGTGTTCCAACTAGCTTGGAACAAGCTGTAGCAAGACCACAAAAGGCCCACCTGGATTCCCATGAATCAAAGATTTTACCCGTAACTATATAACTTGTTGTGAGCTGCCCCGAGGCTTTGCTGCGATGGGGGCGGCATAAAAATGTTTTAAATAAATAAATACAGCTGTATCTGTACCTCCCCTTTCTGCCTAATTTGGCTGATCGGTCTGTGGCCAAACAGCTCCATGTACTCCTGTTGATGCCAACTGTTCTGGACCCATTTCAACCATGCTTCTGATCAGAATCTGTGCCTCTCATAGTGACCCTGTTCGCTGATGTTCCCTGGGATTGATCCCAGAGAGTGTAACCCTGCTCGTTATCATGGACTTTCAGTAGCATTTTGATCATGGCATATTTCTGATCAGCAGCATTGGTTAGGAATATTAAAGAGCTCTGATTTATAGCAGTTCTGTCCTTGACTTGCTGAAACATTCCAGGAAGTAGTGCCAAGTAATTGCTGTTCTTTCCCCTAGAAACTCTACTACAGAATACCACAGAGCGCTATCCTTCCTGTTATGCCTTTTAACATCCAGTGGAAACTACTGGGAGAGGGCTTTATTTACACAAAAAGTGCTTTAAGGTTTGCAGCCCAGACAAATGCAGATCAGGATCTGCTCTTCAGAGGGGGTGGCAGGTTTTAATTGGACTGAGAGAGGAGCTTCTGGATTCAGAGGAGGAGGCAACTGAAAGTCTGCCTTTGCACTGCCACCAGCTGCCTGCAGAAGTGGGTGATGCTTGCAAAGCTTTCTATGCTCACCTTCTCGACGATTGTTGCGTAGACATTTGACCTTTGGTATCTTCGTAAGAAGCTGGCAGTCCTCAGCTGAAGAGGAAAGAAAACAGTTGGCCCAACTGCCTAGTTTACTTGGCATCGACAGAAACGCTGAAATTAATTCTTCCCATGTGTCTTAACAGAGGGCAAAGTGTTGCTTTCATTTATGGAATGAATCAATCTGTTGATCCTTAAATAAATGGCCTTAATCCCATTGCCTAAAGTATCTCCCAAATAATTCCGCTTGCCTTTCAGCTCACTCCTCAAGTGATCAAGTCAGCAATTCTCAAACACACCACAGCAAACTTCAGATTACAACAACCTTCTGCAAGCTGGTGTCCTCCAGATGTGCTGGACTACAACCCATAGCTGGCTGGGGATATGGGGGCGTTGTAGTCCAACCCCTCCATCTGGAGGGTACCAGCTTGCAGAAAGCCTACGCTCCAGTTGTGCGCAACAGATCCTTCTCCTGCACGGTGTCCCCCAAAAGAGAGCCTTTAAAGCCAAGTATGGGTGGACTGAAAAGGCCTGCAGAAGCCTTCCTCTACCAGCCAGTTTTTACCTGAATGTTCCGCCACCCATTATGCTTTTGTCCCCGTGGCTACAGGGAGAAAAGCAACAGAAATAAAGGGAGAAAATTGTAGAAAAGAGGTGAAAAAACAGCTTTCTATCACTTTCCAAGCTGTAGCTGTGGCACTACTTCCCAAAGGTGGACGGGCAGAAGCAAAGCCTCTTTCACAACTCTGTGTCTGCCTTGTAATACCACTGCAGAGTCGTTGTGATATCTGGCCCAAGCACTGGACGAGGGAGAACTGGATCCAAGTCCCCACTCAGCCAGCAAGCTCACTGGCTGAGTGGCTTAGCCTAACCTATCTCAAGAGGCTGCTGTGAGAGAAAAAGGAGGAGGAAGATTATTCTTTGCAAGAAGGATTAAAAGGTGGGATATAAATGTAAGGTAATGGCAAAATAATAATATTGGCCAAAAGCAGCCCATTCTTCACTGAGGATCTTTCCTACCCATTTTTTTTCCATGACATTCTCTATCATGAAGGGCCAAAGTGATCTAAGGGTCAGAATATTAAGCTTGACTCTGGGAAGCCATGGCTTAAATCCTTGCAGTTTAAGCACTACTGCACACACATCACAGGGCTTGGGCAAGACACTTATATTCAGCTCTTTATAAAGATAAACTTAGCATCATGCGGCATTCAGTTTCAGTACAGTGGCCTGAGGTGACAGTTCACATTCCACATAAAGTACAGTAGAAAATATGAAAATTACTCTTGACAGCATGGAGCAGCCACTTGTCCCCCTTCCTTTTGCCTCCTTACAGAGCACTTCAGCTACAGTACTGTAAGCGAGAGAGACTATTTGGACCATGTCTGACCACTGGAAAATCATCTCGGTATGGTGCATGTCCCTGGAACAAGAACTGTAAGCTAAACCATCTTTTCCCTTTTTCATCGCTTTGAACCTCTCTCACAACCCAACACCAGCCACTGTTACATCCTGTGCTCTTTTCCTTGCCTTGCAAAGCCCCTCACTTATCTTCTTTGCACAGCCTTAGTATCTTGGGAAGATGCACTAAGGCTATGAGCCAAAGTACTTTATTTGGCAACATCATCCTGGAGCTTTTCCATTTCTACAGCTCCTCACTGTCTGAAAATACTGCTCTCATTTGGGCACTTTGTCAGAAGCTGTATCACTGAGATGCAGTGACAGGTATCCTAGATTAAAGGCTACAGAGGTACCGCTGGACATCTGCTAGACAAGAAAATTCAGGTCCTAAAATAAACCCAGGAATCTATTTTAGGTTATTAACACTCCAAGAATGTAGCAGAATCCCATTTCAGCCACACTAACAAGGATTGTGACCCTTGGAGACTGTTTATTAAAAGATGGCCTAACTATTTATTAAATGTATTTTAATTCATTCAATAATCAGTGTTCTTGGGAGATTACAAAAGTTAAAAAGCTAAAATGCCATAAAAGGAGCAGAATAATGAAACTATTCAGCATGTATGGAGATAAGATGCTGTATAAAGTGCATCGCTTAGTAGGTTTGAGAACAATAACGGGACCATCCCAAACATGCAGAATGTGCAACAGGTGCATCTGATCTTTTTCCGCTGGAGTGGTCAGGGATGGAATCCGGAACGCCCTTCATGAAAGCATGTCCTCACGCCCACTATGTTGTGGTCCCTCCTGGGAGTCCTTCCCATACTCTCCTCTTCTGTGCCTACTGTAATATGATGGAATGAACCTATGGACACCCCTGAGCCTCGCCTTCACAGGAGCACAGCTGTGCTTTTTTCACTCTTGTAGAATTAACTGTGTGGCTTCCTTCACTTCCTTGGCATTTTCGGTCCAAATCTCTGTGTCTGAAAATGATTTTGTGCCACGGTGTAACTTGGTGTCCTGCACTAATCAGGGGTTTGGACCCAATGGCCTTCTGGCCCCTTATAGAACTCTACCATTCTATGGTTCTATAATCCAAAGCCCCAAACCTGAGACAAGGGCTGCCTCCCATCTGGGGCTGCTAACAGCAGAGCGCTCTGTCTCTGCCACTGCAGTTGCTTTAGAAATCATGCCCCCCTTAGTCCCTTCTCAGGGTCAAACAAAAGGTGGCCTCCTGGCTAGGACATGCCGCATGTTGAAGATCTTTTGTTTCTATTTAAACATGCATAGGATTGCACCCTAAAGACATCATTAGCAACCACATCTTAAAAAATAATGGCAGGTATGCTCCACACCACCAGATGGTTTTTTTTTTTTTTTTGGCACCAATGGAAATTTTCCTTCCAGAGCTAGTAGCAGCCAAGGGGGAGGATGATTTTCACAGGAGCTGTGATGGAGGAATAACAGAATTAATCATCCCATTCCTGCATAACAGGGTTCTCAAGAAAATCCCCCATATCTGCTATTTGTTCAAAACGGGGAGGAAAATGAATAGGGTTCCCAGAAACTGTGCAATTGAACTTTCTTAGCCTCTTGTTTTGGGAACTCAAACAGCCACCAAAAAGTCATCTGCAAAGCTAGAGTAAACACTGCTCTGTTGTGCTAGGTTTCTAAAGAAATGGAACCGGATACAAATATTTTAAATAAATCAATAATAATACCTCCCACAGCAGAATTCCAGGCATGCATTGTCCTGGTATTGTTCTGCTCTGTGAAAGCCTCAGTAAGAACCTGTGCGTAATAATCCTAGCCTGTCAAGAACACAGAGCAAAAACCTTCTCCTCCCTCCTGAACTTCCATCACTGGGTCTCCTATATAACTGGGACAATTTATCTGCCTGGCAATCTATCTTCCCCAGCCACAGAGCCTTCCCCAAGAGCCTTTCACATCCACTGGTGCCAGGGCAGTGCTTTTCAATCGGCTTCATTGCCACGCAGGGGGCAATTTTCTTGGGGGATGCAGCTAGGGAAAGAAGGGCTGCTCCCCTCCCCACATGCTGCAATGTGCCCCCCCCCAACAAATCCTCTGTTGTCGTTGCTATGTGCTGTCAAGTCATCTCCAACTTATGGCCCTCCTATGAGTGAAAGCCTTCCAAAATTCCTACACAAAATGGCTCTGCTCAGCTCTTGTAAATTCAAGGCTTTTGCTTCCTTTATGGAGTCCATTCATCTCATATTTGGCTGTCCTCTTCTGCTTCTGCCTTCAATTTTCTCTAGCAGGATTGTCTTTTCCAGCAAGTTGTGCCTTCTGATGAAGTGCCCAAAGGATGACAGGCTCAGTTTGTCATTTTTGCTTCTAGGGAAAGTGCTGGCTTGATTTGATTCACGACCCACTTGGCTATCTTTCTGTCAGTCCAGGGTATCAATCCTCGGCTTAGAAAAAAGCTTCCCATTAGTACTAATGATAATTTCCACCCCCTAAGCTTAGGCACCACATGGTGGTGAGGATTTCTAAGGGAATTGGTGAGGGAAGGGCTAACCATCTTCCTGTGCATTCCATTGCATTCCCCACCCCAATCCCCTTCCCTTGGCAATTAAGCTTGGGGGGGGGGGAACCCTCCACTGATGCCAATGGAAACATTGGGACCCAAATCTGTTAAGCACCTAACAACACCTCTACTTATGATAACAACCTGGTCAGAACAGAACAGAGAAAGATGCCACAAAATAATACAATTCAGAACTAGTTTGTTTGCTTTTGTTGAGTGGAAATTAAAACAAGCACAACAAAGCTTTGGCCCTTCCTCTCTGCTTATCTCTGTCAGAAAAAGACGTCAGGAGAGCAAAGCTCCTGAGTGAAGGAGACAAAATGTGAACTGCAGCAATAAAATGAATACAAAACAAAAGATAATTAAAGAAATCTGAAAAAAACAATACTTACGATCAGAGCTGAAGTCATCTACTAAAATTATTTCCTGAATCAGGTTGGCTGGGGTACGATTCAGAACACTACAACAACAAAGGAACACATCTTGTCATTCTAAGTACAACAGCTCCCTTTTAGTGGTCCTGACCCAGGAATCATGGGCTCTCCATATGCAGATAGCCAACTCTCCAGGATTAAGGCTTCTGATCCTCATCCCCCTTGTGGACTGGCTGTGCAGGTTGCCACGTTCTCCAAACCCCATTTGGTGTGCAGAGGGAGGTGGCTCCAAACCACCCCAGAAACCATAGCTTGTTGCAAGGCTCTGGAGGTTTGGAAGCTGGCCACCCCTGTGCATCTCAGCAGCTTTGCAGAGCATGAGGAGAGAAGCACTGTGAGGGTAATCAGGCATGTGCGCAGCATGTGACCCGCCTGTACAGAATGGAGAGGGCAGGCCACCGTGCCTTCTTCTTCCTAGTATTTATGTGAACCGGGCCACTGTATCTCACTTGCAACAGCCTGCCAGTACATTCTATTGTTCTTTCTTACAATACATTGCACGGCAAGCAAGGAGCTGGGGTGGGGTGGGGGAGGTCCCCTGCTCCTCCTCTTCCTCGCTCCCTCCACCATCTGGGCCAGATCAAGAAGCAGCTGAACAAGGCAGGTAAAGAGGAGGAGCACTTCTGTAAGTGCTAAATATTGCTAAGAGGACCAAATTCCCTGAACTGCTGTCCAAGGCGAGGTGCTGCAGACTGCACCAGCTGTGCGAAGTGTTCTCTAAGATGCACCTTGAGACAAACGGTTGGTGCAGGCACTCCCTGAATGACAGCAATTTCATACTCTGCACAGGGTACCTGGTGAGCAGACAGTTCGTAAGAGACAGTGGTTTCCTGTGGTGTGAAAGATGTCAAGCAGGGCAAACAGTTTGTGACTGACAATCGTCCCCTGAAGAGAACTAGAAATGCCAGTGGGAAAGCTGTTCAAGATGCCACACTGAAAAGTTTCAGGCACGCAAGCATCTTTCCATTTTTTCCTAAAACCCTTCAGCCTCTTCACAGGAGTTTTAAATCTGAGTACCTATGCTGAAAATAACTGATCTACAGATGCTGTACTCCTTAAGTTGGGAAAGGTTCAGATGTAAAAGTATAAAGGAAAGATCAGGTACTCCCCCACACCTGATAAAGCCCAAACAGAGGAGATGGGGAGAATCATTACAGAAAAAGTCCACCTGAATAGTAATAGAGTTTCAGAATAAAATGCAGCAGTGTGCCCCTGAGCCTGGGTCTGAAAAAATAAACATTAACATCTAAGCCCTCTCTGCCCTAACTTTAGTCTTACTTTTTGTGCGAATACAACCAGACTGCATCCAGTGAATGGGAGCATGATGTTTCTGCATGCAAAGGAGTGCTGGTTTTGGACTGAGATGGGGCCTTTTCTACAGCTGGAGAGATGTGGCGGGGGGGGGGGGCAGGTAGCTGCCTGGGAGACCAACCCAGCCTCCATCCCACCTCTGACCTGCAGTATTAAGGGAGGACAGCACTGCAGGACTACTTGAGCGACCCTTTCACAGCACCCCCAAGGTTTCTCAGCTCACGTCCTGGGTTCAGACAGGAGCTTGGTTTCCATGCATGCATGCTTTCCACGACTCTCCATCTTCCCTGCCAATGGTGGCACGTATCCCATCAGCCTCAGCGGCTCAGCATCAATCGATCCCAGTGATCACTGCTCCTGCCTGTGTCACCTGCCATTCCCTCATGGCCTGCATGCCCCACTGGCCCTGCCCTCAGCCAGCTGCATTTTGCTTTACTCCTTCTGCTGCTCAGTGCAGGAACTGCCTGTACAATAGATAGCACTGTTGCTGCAGAGTAACACTTCAGGAGCACTGCCCTGTGCTGCCTTGCTCTGTGCCAACGTGCCAGCAGCCCCATCTCTCATCGCCCGTTGCTGCTTGTGTCCACGCTCTCCAAGCAGAACTCCCACGTGCTCCCAGGGGCTGCCCTCCCCTGCATTCAGGCACATGGCGGGCATCACTGTAGGCACCCAGGCCAAGGACTGAGGAGCAGTCCTGCTGGGCAGAGCTTCCTGCAGGAGTGCCTGTGGGCATCTGCCTGGGAAAATATTCCAGTGGGATGCAAGGAATGTGTTTGTCCCGCAACTGTGGTGTGGGTGATGGGGAACAGCAGGGCTTGTTGACAGTCCAGGAGAATGTCAGGGACAAGATAGGAGTGGAGGGGATGGTGGAAGGCAGAGGGGGAGACGTGGGTTTCCCAGGGCGATCACCCTGGTGGTGAGGCACACACACAGCCTGTGTGTGTCTCATGTGCAAGGCGGCCTTCACAAGAGAAGAGGGCTCCCAGAGTAGCACTGGCAAAGAACATTTTCCAAGCGTCACTCCAGTAAAGTGCAGAGACCAGACCAGAGTGCCAAGAACAGCTGTCTTCCTGGTCACTGCGGCTGGAGGTGACATGATACTCAGCCTCTAGGAGTTCCTGCTGCCATGGCTGTGCACCTGAAAGCTGTGCACTGGCAAGGCAGAAAGGGAGGATGGAGCAGCCAATCAGAGTGTTGCTGCCTACAACTGAGCAGTTGCTAAGCAGTTTTGGACAGTGGTGAATGCAGACAAGAGCATCTCCTGAAGTTGCAGCCACTCCTGCCACAGAACTCTATGGTGAAAGCATGGAAACCGCACAGAAGCACAGTGTCTTGGTTCAGACACGGGAAGAAGCCATGGTGAAGCACGTAACCTTACAACAAGCCATTGTTTTCCCATGTTGTTCCATTCCTACCCAGTGAATAAAATGAAATGGCCCACCCAGGGAATAAAATAATTCTCTCTACACTTTTTATAGCTATGTGCCTTTTCTTCTGCTTGTTTCTCTTGGAGGAGGAAATGGGAGAGCAAAGGAGTACAAGGTAACAGAGAAGGAAACACAGAGGTATAACTGTCCATCTCCCACTCTCTTCTCTATTCCTCTGTGTTCCCTGTCTTCCTTCTCAGCAAGCCTCACTTGCCCACTGGTTGGTGGCGTCTTTGTCTCCACAGCCATACTTCCTGTTAACGTAGAGCAGATTTCATGTCTCCTTTTCTTTCAGTTTTCTCACACAACAGACTCAAAGTCTCATTGTTTACTTAAATGTCCTTGAATTGTTAGTGGTTCTCTGTCCCTGTTTGAGTTTTTCTTTATTAAAATAATTCTTTTTTTACTCCTGCGAACCTTGGAGTGTCTTTTGTTCATAGATTTACTTAAAAACTAAAAATGGGAACTAATACCTTTATTCCTATCTCTGGCCAAACGCTTCAGATTTCAGTTAAATGAAATGAACAAATGAAAGATAGAAAATCAATATTTCCAGAGGATACCAGAGAACATGTAATACTAAGAACAATACACTTTAAATTAAATAGCACTTTAAAGTGTTCAAATCCTTATCCTCATATTGTAAGGCCACTTACTGAGTTCACAGCACAGGTGAGAGCCAAATAATGGATACCCTACTCTTAGTCACTACAGCAGTTCTACCTGGGCATTCATTTTCAGACTTGCCAATTGTCCCCAGAACTCCAGTACATTGATTATGTCTCACCAACTCTGAAAGAGGAGTCTCGTGGGGCTTCAAACTACTAAAATCAGGCATAGAAACTCAGTAACAGGTTTAAAAATTTTGGTGTTAGCATCTCTTATCAATTGGACTTCCTTACCTCCGCCATTCCCCAAAGTGACATTAAACTTCTGTTCAGGAAAATGTCAGGACAAAATGAGTGAAAGCGCTGCCATGATATGGCTGCTGAAAGCCTGACACTGTAAGAACAGCTTTAGACTTAAGGTGGGATTTCCTGATCTGATCAGGAAACCATGTTGCAAGTCTTGCTCCTCACCTGCACCTTAGAAATGCTGTTGTTTGCCTGTCCTGCTCAAGTACATCCTTAGATATGCTAATTGTTTGCCTGTCCTGAGAGTTCTTCATTTGTGTTGTGTGTAAGTCTTTCTGAAATGGTGCTCTGCTTCAGGGTGGTTTAAGAAGCACAGAGTAAGTGGCTGAAGGTACCCCAGGAAATTAAATCCCCACACCTGCCTTGCGAGGCTGGTTGGCTGGTGACTGATACAAGACTGAAAACGAGGGCACAGAGGGTGTTCTTGCTCCTGAGAGAGTGTGTGAAGCCCTGGTATAATTGAGGAAGTTCAATAAGTTGGTCATTGTCCAACTCGAAGCAAGGCTGTCCAGCTGGGAGAAGGCGACTGATTGGAGAATGTGTGGAATCTTTCCCTTTCCCATCCCAACAACTGCGGTGAAAAAGAGCCAGACCTGGGAAGCAAGGAAATTGTGCACCTTGTAGGGTTTTGCATGAAAGGTCCTGCCTTGTCTGGACAACCTCAATAAGCATAACCTGTATGAAAGTCCCGTGAGATTCTGCTAAAGCAGAGTCTAGGGCAATTTCCTTGTCAGAAGTGGGAAAACTGGTGTGTTACATGTTTATGAACATTTGTCCAAAATATTGCAAACATTTAAGCCGCACCTGATCTATCCAACTGATGCTTCCCTAGGCAAGAAGCTCTTCTTTGATTGGAATTAATGATTGCATTTGCAAATACAGAAGGGAAGACAGGAAGGGAGATGACTGGTGGCTGGTTATCTTTGCTGGCATAAAAGAAAAACAAAAGGCACTGAGAATTCTCATGTTGGGAATTTCAGGGACTTCCAAGAAAAGCTCAAATGGCTAAGTAAAGTACAGAAGGAAAGGTTTTTTCTCACAATATGGGGGAAATTGGTTGGTAAATCCTGGAAAAAATTGCACTAGTAAACTGAATGTGAAAGACTGCATGTGTGCATAGAAAGATTAAAAAGTTCTTTTTGCTCAGCATTCCAAGAAACAAGATGTTTGTATTTGGTAGACAACCTGAGCAGTGGCAGGCTGGAGTTCAACAAGGAAAATGCAAAATCCAATGGAAAGGCATATTGTGGTGAGCCACTAGTTGGGACCAAGTCACAGAGGTGGGGCGGGGTGGGGTGGGGGGAGCCCTTAAAACCAGCAGAGACTAGCTCTGAACATGAACCCTGCACTGTCCTGCCCATACAATAAACAGCA